AAAAAAAAAAAAAGTGCAGCGCTTCAGCTGGAAGCTCAGAATTGCTTTTCTGCCGCCTCTACAGCTGCCCTTTAGTACTTTGTATCTTGAGGCATGCAACTAGTAATGAAAGGCCAAAGGGCCCACTCGCCCACAATCAGCTCGAAGTTCTGAGATGTGGAGCTTTGAAGTCTGCCTTAGAAGTTTCCAGCACCCAGCCAGCATCTCAATATCAGGTGGTCGGGGAGTTTTGCTCATCTGTTGTAGTCAGGAGCCAGTCAAATCGAAGCCTGTTGGAGATGCAGCAGAGATGCAACATTGGACAGAGGCCACCCCGAGCCCACACGAGCTTGATGATTTCAAGGTTCCAGGAAGAAGCTTTACTTCGATTCAGGGTCAAGAAACGGTGTACATGGTTTCCTAGTCAGCATTTCTGCGAATACATCTATCTCTGACACCAATCACCGCGCGGAATGTAGCTCTTGAAGCTATTGAGGGAGGAGTTGGAGGTAAATTAGTCCGCAATTCCTGTATCATGATCAACTTCAAGAGCTTCTGTCGCATCGTTTGAAGATACAAAGATATGACAGGGAGGGACGGTTTTGTCATGTTTATGTTTTTCAAACTTCTTGTGGAGGCAGTAGCACGCTTCAAAAGAGTGATATGATGTTTTGCATGTCCATCTGCAACCAGCTTTTCTAAGCTCCAGAAATAAGCACTGAACGATTGTAGGCTGAGTGGGAGGGCCAAGCTGATCTCTTGCTTCGTTTTCTTTCGTGCACGAACCTTGGCCTGTTCCAGTCCTCACTGGCCCGGTCCGTTTCCTAAAGTGACCGTTTGATATTCAGCATGTCCAATGTAGCCATCCGTAACTGCATCAAGGACTCGGTGGAACGCTTAATGTTTTAAGGTAGGCGGTTTGAAAAGCTCCGTATTATAGCATTTAAACGAAGGACCAACCGTCCAGCCATCATCAAATTCTCATCTCTTACCATTGGTGAACATGCTGTTGCAAGTGAACCTTTCCTTTCAAGGAACGAACAGGTAACTTCCTGTCTTTCTTCCATCTGTCCCTGAGCATCACGAAAATCAGGTACATGAAAGTCAACAGACACTTCATTAGGATCGAAGTGCCTCTCGCGGACCGGACTCATTATACGATACACGTTTGAAAGCTGGTTCTCAGTCCTGTCATGCTTGCAGAGCACTTTTGGGAGCGCTGACACGGCCAGGGGACACGAAGACAATCTTCGACCACGGTGAAAGCGGGATGGGCGCCAGGAAGGCAAGCGTCGGTGAGCGGACAAGACCCACGTTCTGCTTATTGGGTCTTATACTGCAGTTAGGCAGCTCGTACATAAAGGAAAGCTTGAGTCGTCGGTTCGCTGTCATGCTTTGAAAGAAGGGTGATTAAGTATCGTGTTTCAGTATCTTAAGTCAAATTTGGTAGCTTAATACTTTCAATCAATATGAGTGGTCTCTTGGGCAGAGTTTGCACTCAGGACGGTGACGGAGCGTCTCAAAAGTTTCTTTTGTCATGATTGATACAGCCAAGGGGATCGATGCATAGAGAAGATGCATCCAACTGAATCTCGTTCAAGCTTAGAGAGCAGCTTGCGTGGCGCCGAGCTGGGCGCTTACTCAATTGCCGCATAGATATTTTGGATCAAGGACCGCTTTGATCGCTTTCTCGTCAAGAGAAGCTGTGCAACTTGTCAAGGAGGCCGAAGAGACGGTGTACTTGATGAGGACATATTGGACCTTCAAGCAGGTGAGAGCGCGCGCGCGCGCCGACGAAGGGTTACGTCAGCAGGTCTGCCGGACTGGAGACGAAGCTGGTGGCCTTCACTAAGGTACAAAGGTTGCAAAGACTTAAGTAGGAAAAGCTTGACGTACATCAGAATAACGGAAGAACGCCCAGCAAAGCTGGCAAGCCCGTTGCATCTTTAACTCACTGTCGCCCGCTTGCCACGCTCGACTCAAGCTCAAAGGGAAAGATCCGGAAGTAACACTGTGGTCAGAGCCTTGAGCGAGAACTCGGAAACTTCCTTGATGCATGCGGTTCCGAGCAGCAGGCATGTGGAAGTGTTGCCAGGCCCTCTGCCGGGTCTCGCTTGAGCGATTTGTGTCTCGAACTTACATTCAGGATTGAGAGCGACCAGAGTAGTAGCGTCCACTCACGCTGGCCGCCAGATCCTCGTCAAGCGCCTTCCGTTTTTCAGCAGATTCATGAAGATGAAAGCCTCAACAAACTCTGCCTTCGGTCCGAGTCCGCCCTTGGTTCCCCCTTTCCTGCCTTTGACTCTTCTTCTGGGCATTCCTTCTGGTTCTTTCTCTTTGTCATCATAGTAGATCTGATTCCGCTCGTTCCGCCACCGCCCGCAGCTGTATTGTAGCGGAAGGACACGAAGGCCGCTTGGGCCAAGGACCGGCAGCTGGTGGGCGACCAGCGGCACGCCGTAACTCCCTTCAAAGTACCTCCCTGGTCGTTCTCCCTAGCACCCTTTTTCCCCTAAGCAGATGAAATCACTTTTTAGTTTTTAGTAATGGATTCCATTCATAGAAGATTTGTCCCGGGTACTTTTCCCCGGGGTAGAGATCGTCTGGACTACATCATGCCGCTTCCTCTATCGCTTTCATGAGGTCTTCAATGCCCGCATCACACGCGTTTCCAACTACTGCCGAAAGCGGAAAAGTAGGAAATGTAGCGGCGTTTCCATCTTCCAAATTGTGCTTGTCACAGGAAGCACAACGTGTGAACGCTTTCCGCGGACCGTCTGATCCACGGAGAACCGGGATGGCGAATCGGGCAGCGGTCAGAAGAGGGCTCGCGCCGCGCCACTGCAGGCTGGTCAGAGAAGCGGGCAGCGGTCGGGGCAGGGCTTGCGCAAAGCCTCTGCGCCGTCTTCCGGTTCAACCCGGAAATTTTGCAGCGGTCGGAAGAAGACCCGCAAGAAGCGGCCGCCACCGCTGAATACAGAACAGGGCAGCGGTCGGGGCGCTCGGTGACAAACGCCCCGCCGTAAGTTCAGGAACAAGGAACCGGGCAGTGGTTGGGAGACGGTCTGCGCGCGGCACCGCCCGGAAGAAAGAAGTGGGCAGCGTTTGGGAGAAGGCCCGCGCGTCGCAC